CAAGAGTGTTTGGGGGTCCATACTGTAGAATGTATTGCTGGTGAAATTCTTCGATCACAAGCTAAGTTGGTGCATGATGAGGTAGAGGAATCAAATTTAGAAATTTGGAAAAACGATCCATAATGACCATGACTTGTGAATGTCCTCCCTCGCTCACCTTCCCCATGTCCGTGAAATCGATAGAGATCGACTCACCGGGCCCATCAGGGATTGAGAGGGGTTTCAACAGGCCATGCCTATGGACCTTGGTTCTTTGATAGACATTCAAGAATAAATGAGCAGCTCCCTTCATTCCCGGTCAGTCAAACTGCTGCAAAAGACTTCCATAAGTCTTCTCAAAGCGGAAGTGTCCACTTCGACCATGCGCCAAATCCAAGAAATGATTCCGGAGAGGCACATGGTTGGGTACACACAAACAATCAAACTTCCCATACCGGCGGAATACAAGACCCTCTCACTCGTGAAAATCAGGCTGACTGCTAGGGTCAGCCTTGAGCTGCTCAAGGATGGGACTAAGGTCCGGATCCTTGGCAGTATGTTCGACCAGATCCTCCTTCAGTTTCCTTCGGAGGTCATATAAGCTCACAAGGCAAGCCAAAAACTCAGGATGGCGCGAAAAAGCATCAGCAACACGATTATAACAACCTTTCTTATGTTCCGGTTCAAAATTGTAAACATCAATGTCATGCTGCGGGTCAGCGTCGGAGAGAGATCAGTTTGTGTTTTAATCCACTGCAAGGTCTGATGATCTGAGTAGACCTTGAAGTGGCGATCCAAGAGGTAGTGCTTCCAATGTGTGAGCGCTTCTCGCATGTTTTAATCCACTGCAAGATCTGATGATCTGAGTAGACGTTGAAGTGGCGATCCAAGAGGTAGTGGTTCCAATGTGTGAGCGCTTCTCGCAAGGCATAGAGCTCACGCGTATATGCGGAGGTAGCTACCTTGTGGCTGAGCATGCGTTTGCTGTAATACTCGAGCGGACGCAGGCCATCACCATCATCTTGTGGCAACACTGCACCAATCCCGTACTGGCTTGCGTCTCTAGTAACTACGAACGTGAGGTTCGGATTCGCAATGCGGAGCACATGATGACTTACCAAAGCCTCTTTCAAGGCTTGGAACGCAGTCTCGCATTTCTCACACCACGCATAGGCAACATTTTTGCTTGTTAGTCTCGAGAGTGGGTGAGCAATGACAAAAAATTTGGGCACAAACTTCCGGTAATATGAAGCCAAACCAAGAAAAGAACGCAGTTCGCGTACGTTCGCCGGTTGAGGCCACTTTCGCATGACCTCAACCTTGGTTGCCTCCGGCTCAAGGCCGTTTGCAGACAACCGGTGCCTAAGATAGGGGACAACGTCATCCAAACTCAAATTTCTCTAAGTTGAGGTGCAGTTGTGCCTCCTTGAGGACTTGCAAAACCTCCTCAAGGTGCTGGACGTGCTGTTCCATGGACTTGCTGAAAATCAGGATGTCGTCAAGGTAAACAACAACAAACCTGTTGAGCTGATGGCGAAGAACCCTGTCCATGAGGCATTGAAATGTGGCTGGTGCATTCGTTAGACCGAAGGGCATAACAATGAATTCATATAGCCCATCGCGTGTTTTGAATGCAGTTTTGTGCTGGTCACTCGGATCAACTTCAATCTCGTGGTAGCTAGACTTGAAGTCGATCCTGGAGAAGATCGTGCACCCACCTGCAACATCTAGCAGATCATCTATACATGGCAAGGGATAAGCGTTATTTCGGGTGATACGGTTTAGGCCACGATAGTCAATACACATTCGGAGTTTGCCTCATTTCTTCGGCACAAACAGGACAGGTCCCATACGGTAGACACATCCCTTTGGAGGAACACTCCCTTCTATTATCTCGATCTTGTGTTTGATCGGACTCTCGAGAACTCCACGAGGTTCAACCAAAACTTCAGGAAATCGATCTAATAGACGACAAATTTTTGTTGGGACTTTCGGTGGAGGATCATCCTCATGAGGAGAGAGAAAATCAGATTGAGAATTTACAACAATTACAACCAAATTCGAAGTACTTGGATCAGAAGTGGACTGATTATTTACAGTAAAAGTAGATGGAACAGAAGTAGAGGTGGTAGAAGTAGAATAACTTTCCGAGGTAGAAAATGCAGCAAAAGTAGAAGGCACATGGAGAGGCTTTACAAGAGCTACATGCACATCCTCAGCTTCCTTGCGCCGACACACTGATTTGCAGAATTTGTTTGCGCTCAAAAGAGTCACAGGGGACTTGCTCGTCTCATCCAATAAAACGGTACACTCCTTCCCCTTGGCATCACGCACCACGAACTGAGTATCCGCCCACGTGGTCCTTAGACAATGAGGCTTTAACCAGCCCAAGCCAATGATCGCGTCGAAAGGACACTTGTCCAGGATGTAAAAGTTTAGCTCATGTGTGATTGTGCGATCCTTGTCAAATGGGACGCACACACCTTTGACAGCATGTATTGAGGTGACAACCTCTTGGTTGCCTACTTGGATCTGACAAGGGTTCTGCAATTGCACTTGCTTCATTCCCAGGCCCGCCTTACGAATCCCGTTAGGAGAAAAGAAGTTAGTCGTTCAACCACTATCAATCAGCACGCGGATGTATCGGCGGTTAGTGAGCAACTTAAAGAAGGTCAGTTCCACATTCCCTTGAACACGGCGTTGCTGCTTGAGCTGCAGCCAATGTTCCAGGTGAGAGTGGAAGTCAACTTCCTTAGTCTCCTCCCAAGGCTCAATGTAAAGTACTTGGACTGCAGCAGCCTTGGATTCAGCATCAGTTCGGGCTTCAAGAGCAGACTGTTGATCAGATTCAGGCTCCTTGGAGGGGCCTGCAGCCAGAACTGGCAAGATCTCATGAAAGTTTACGGTTCGCTGATGTCGTTCGGTCGTCATCCAGAGACAGACGGAGAGACAAAGCAGAGGAATAAGATCTTGGAGCAATTACTCAGAATGTATATTAGACCAGATCAAGTGAATTGGGACGAGATGCATCCCAAAGTAGCTAGTGCCTACAACAATAGCGTACATCTAGCTACTTGCAGAAGTCCTAACGAGCTGCATAAGTCCTTTAGACAACTTAGGCTGTTTAAAGGACTGAACCGGGATCAAATTTAGAGGTTCCCGCTCGATACAAGAGAGTTTGCTCTGCAGCACGTGAAGGAAGTGCAAAAGGTGATCGAAAACCTAAAAAAATCCCAGCATCGCATGATTGAACAAGAGAATAAGCGCTGCAAACCCTGACAATTCAGGGTAGGCGACTTCGTCTGGGTCAAGTCGAAGGAATTCGCACTAGAAATAAACATCCCGCAGAAGCGCTTGCCCGCATATAGAGGACAGTGGCCTGTCCTAGAAGTAAAAGGTGGAGAGGATGGACCATCATATACGATAGAGATTCCACCTCAACTCCATATGTATCCAGCCTTCCATGCATCGAAGTTGTTAGCTTGTGTCACCAATCAATAGCATCCTTCGTCGAGGTCGATGATTCCACCAAATATGGATGGCACCTATGACATAGACCGAATACTAGAAGAAGATGTATTCCGGACTGCAGGTAGAGGTTGTCCCCAGAAGCAGTACAAAGTCTGGTCTGCTTACCTGGAACTTGAGGACGACAGATGGTTAGCATAGCAAGGAGCGAGCTTTTAGAAACTGCTTCCGACATAGTGCATGCTTACGAGAGAGCAAGAAAAGGTAAAGGTCCTGCCTTGGAGTAATGAGTTCTCCGAGGACCTCAAATTTAGGACGGCGGGAGCAAAAGGGTTTCACCCGGTTTGCGCGACAATCGCAGATGCCAGCACTCGATCCCTAGACCTTCCCTAACCCCTTGTACGGACGCCTGTTGAGTCGCGTTGACCCTGTGTGCTTTGAACCGTCAACCTGTCCCTAGAAACGTGTACAATATTTTTTGTGTATGTAGCTTGGGTCGTGTGGACTTGAACCGACTACCTGTCTATTAGCAGTCTTAGGGTCAGTCCGTATGTCCAGCTCTACAACCTACGAAAGGTTAGTCAGTCGTAGTCTAGACAGTCCTCGAAGAGTCAACTTGACCTTTCGAAGTGCCAGGAGGCAGCCCATTGGCCTCCGAAAGGTCAAGAGTCCCCAGTCCATCTCCGAAGGGGCAAAGGTACAGTCCAGCAGTGAGTACCAGAGCGGGACTGCACATCTTAAGAGCCTGGGACAGCGGCGGTCCCAGACCACCAAACGCAACAGTATAAATAAAGAGGCAGTGATCGGTCATTCACTTATTATCTGGGGAACAACGTGGAAGCACGGCCCGAGTGTCTTGTGCGCTGAGTTCACCGGTGGTCAGCAAGAAACCCGAAGGTGGAAGAGGGTGAGCGGCCATAGCTGCTAGCGAGGAAGAAGACGACGACGGCCATAGCCGCCAGTGTGACAGAGTCGGTAGTTAGTAGTGTGTATGTGCGTGGACATTCAGGGTAGATCCTAGTGCATGTGTACATATGTGTGAGTGGTGTCCGATGGTGGATATAGTGTGATGTGGGAATTCGGACTGGCGCTCAGATGCCATAGCTGCAAGATGTGACAAGTTGACTTGAGCTGAGTCCCTGGCTGAAGGCCATATCTCTGAGTTTTCTGTGTGGGCGCACTGCGCCGTCTCACTCTTGTTGCTGATTCTACTTCGAGAAAGTTGTTTTGCCATCGGCACCTGTATGTGTGCATGTTGCAAGTGAAGTCGAGGACAAATCTAATTGCACTATGACCTGGTTGTTATTATTTTGCATTGATGCGAAAGTAGTTCCCGAAGGCCCGCTGTCTCAGTTTTGCTATATTCATGGCCTCTTTCACCTACCTGCGGACACAGAAGAGACGGAGAGCAGTTCTTTTTCCTCATTCTCTGCAAAAAGAAAAACAAATGAAGAAGAAGACTGTACAGCTCGATAAGTTGATCTGTGCTTGGAAGCCTTTTAGAAACCTCTTTTGTCAATTTGTGTTCTGTGGCTCATGTCTGTTGCTTGCAGGCGCATTGTTATCAAGTTGTTGGTAACCTTCTTTCAAAGAAACCATAGCAAGGAGGTACGTTTCTTCTCTCTTGTTTGTTTTTTTATTATTATGTTGCCTTCTCTTGAAAAGCATTCTTTTTCTTCTTCTTTTTTTGCCACCAAACTCTCTTGTGTCGCAAACAAGCCAAAGTAGACCACAGGCATTCCGTGAAGAACACCACCAGACTGAAAACGAGAACAAAAAAGAAATGCTACAAATTTCAATGAAAACAGCGTTCTGTATGTGAATTGAACAGTAAATCCTTGTTTGAGCTTTGATTGATACAATGCGCCAATGAAAAGTGCACAAGACAACTACGAAAGCGAAATAAGAAAGCTCTGTAATCCTGTCCTTCGGGACATCCCTTAAAATTGGAATGATACAGAGAAGATTACCATGGCCCCTGTGCAAGGATGACACACATAAATCGAGAAATGGTCCAAAAAAAAAAAAGAAAACCTCTGTTATCCTCCGTATGTTTGCCAGTGTGTAGCTGACTGCACTGTAGAAAGAGTCTAATTAATGCTATGCGAAAAGGTCTTAAACCGCCAGTACCTTTCCTGGCTCTTTTTTTTTGCCTCCGAGCACTCCGCAAGGTGCCCCCCACAGGGTCAACACAGCTTCGGGTGGGACTTGGATTTGAAGCAGAAGAGGGAAGTCTGCTGCTCTGAATTTTGTTTTTGGTATCTCGGAACTTTTGGAAAAAATCAGAAGAAAACAAAATGGAAAAAACTATCAAGATTCGTTGGGGAAATACGGGCTCCAAACATACGAGGCACGGCTCTGCATGTATCTGGGCTACTTTTGCGAATTGCAATGAACCTCCCAGTTCACCACCAATGAGTGCACACAATCACACACCATGCACAAATGAGATTACACGAAGTTCACACTGGAGGCCAGAGAGACGAAGTCCAGGTAAGCGCAGCTTTATAATTCCAACAAATTATAGGAGCAATTAAGAGTTCCAGTCACCAGCACTCAATAACGCAGGTCCAAGTAACCAGTATCTTCATTCAGGTAAGTATCTCTTCACTGCTCTTCTCTCTCCTCTCTCAGTCTTCTCTCTGTCTACTACTTCCCTGTGTCTTCTCTCCCTACTTGCATGCACTCGCACTCTCTACTACTCAAGGACCAACTCTGAATACACCCACTGCTAACTGTACTAACCCCTCTGAGGCCTACTACTAACTACTAAGCACTGGCGCAGCTATGGCTGCCTCCCCTCTGCCGGTGCTGGGGCAGCTATGGCTGCTCCCTCTCTCTCTCTACAAGCGCAGCTCCCTGGCTCAGCGCTTCGCCCCTCACAAGTGCACTAGCACTTCCACACTTCATGCGAATGAGCAATGTGCCGAATGAGGAGGCTGGACAGTCCTTATATTGTCTTGGACTGATCTTCAACTCGTCCAAGCCTCAGCTTCTTGGGGCTTCACTTGGTTCTGGTACCACATCCCCGCGGCCTGTTT